TTTTTAACAGCATGTGATCTGCAGGACAAGAGCTGCCTACTATTCATCCTTATTGAGGAAAACCAGAACCAGCCCAGGGTTCTGTTCAGCACTGAAGCCAGGCTGACAAAGAGCCACAGCTCCGTGGAGCCTTGTTTCCTTCAGCTCTCAGCAGTGAAGACGTCATGACCTTCTTCACTGATGAAGTCTGAATATGAGACAGAAACTCATGAACATGTGTGTAGGTGCAGCAGCAGCTCTGGATGCATCCATAGGACCAGATCTATACTGTGACTGTTGTGACCCACAGTAGAGTTAGTGATGGAGTTCCACAGGGCTCTGTGTTAGGACCTTGTACATGCTCCCTTTAGGCAGTATTATCAGGGAGCACTGCAGACATTTCCACTGTTATGCAGACGACACCCAGTTATATTTATGTATAAAGCCAAATGAAACCAATCAGCTGGACAGACTCCAACATGTCTGAAGGACATAAAGACTTGGATCAGTGTTTCCTCTGGGATTGTTTCCAGCAGGGGGCAGCAGGCTGTCTGGGAGCCGTGGCAGTGTAAACACATGACATCTGACTGCAGATGTTACTTTTACAGCCTATTGTTGAATGGCCAGTTGAAAATGGCTTTTTAAAGGCTGACTGTAAAAATTTAAAGAAAAAATAAAACAATAAAAATAAAAACAATAAATAATAACGTCTTGATGGGGCTGTAGAATCAGTGGCTAAGTTTGCACCCAGGCTCAGAACAATGACTTTTTCTGGGTTATCTATAGAAGAGCTCTGAGGCTCTGTTGGAGGGAAATTCTCTGAGAGGCTCTGATAAATTATTATGCTCCACTTCTTCTGGACAAAATATCTGTTATTTTTTTGTGGAAGTCTCCTGATCTTCCTTCGCTGCACTTGACCTGCTAACTGTATATCGTACCCAGTCTAGCTCGCTGTCACTTACTCTGCAGCCACGGAGTCACAAGAAGCATGTCTGGGATCACAGCGCCCCCTGCCATGAGGCCAGAGAACTGCCTGCCTCACCTGGAACCTCTTCTCAGCTGTTTATGATCGCTCAGCACACGGAACACGTTACACACATACAGTTGGGAACAAAAACACTGAACATGATTATATACATTAGCCGAACTATGGAACATCAGTTCATATATTAAATGTGTTTGAACCGTGTTATTGGCGACATCCAGACAGCAGCACGCTGTCACTGCAGGCAGCCAGGGCAGGATTAGGGTTAGTGACAGCCTACGCATGGCAGCCTGTGCAGTGAGAGATTGTGCAATCCAAGTGAGGCACCATCGCTGCTGCCTCACCGGCTTCTCTTCCAAGCATCTGAATGGGAAATTGCAAAAATTCAGTGATTTTGAATTTAAAAATCATCAAAACCAACGAGCTAAATGAAAAAATAAATTCTTTATAATACAAATCACTGGATAAATACCATTACCATAACCATTTAAATTTTATCATATTTTTTTCTTTCCGTGATGTCAGATGAGGCTCTGCCTCCTCTGACCCCACATCACTGCTTAGTGCTCACCAGTCATTAACCTCCAAAGAGTAGAAACTGAGCAAGATAGATATCTGCCGTTTACCTTAGTACCAGTGACGTGGGGTGAGGTTCATGGCTGGTGAGGCCCTGACTTCATCACAATCCGATCTACAAATATATGCACTCTACACAGTAGCATATTTGCCATTTGACTGGCAGCAGTTTCATATCTGCATTCTTTACACATACAAGCTGCAGCCCACAAAATGCATGTTTCTTTTTTTTTTTCATGGCAGCTCGCCACTCCTAAATGAATGTAGAGGAAACACGGCTGGATGACCTGGAATTTCCTTCATTTAAATCCAGACAAAATGAGGTTATTGTATTTGGCCCTAAACACCTCAGAAACTCACTGTAGAACCATATAGCTGCTCTAGATGGCATCGCCTTGGCCTCCAGTTCTATTGGACAGAACCTTGGAGGTATTTCTGACCAGGACATGTCTGTTACGGTGACTCAAGCACAGAGCAACAGACACAGCAGACTGAAGCCGTTTATTTTACAACAAAGAGAATCTGAAAATACTCAACCAGTACCAGGTACTATCTGGCTAGGAAGAAAACTCAGTAATAAACGTAATAACTCAAAGAGCTCAAAGTGCTAAGAAGAACTGGCAGACTGATGATAGTGTGAACAAAAGGAGCTCAGATAAACAGTACCGAGTATGCTGAAAGAAACGAAAACTAAATATGAACAGAAGGAGCTCAGACTAAAACACTGAGAAGACAGACTGACTAATAGAACTAAAACCAGTCCTCACTGACTAACTGGAACTACTGAACTAAATAAGAGTGCACAGGCAAAAAGGGAAACAACTCATTTACAAGCTAAATTACAGTAAATGCAAAAAATGACAGACAGAGCGTTGACGGCTTAACTGGCTCTATACTAGGAGAACGTGGGGAGCAACAGCTGGCGGCGGAGAGAACCAGAGGACGGCTGAACCAGGAACCAGGGCAGACAGGTGTAGAGCTGAGTCCAGTAGTGGATCGGCAGTGGAAGGTGGAAGATGGTCCGTGAATAGTGGAATGTTGGAGGTGGTGGTGATCGGCAGCAGATCCAGCTGGATCGATGAAAAAGTCAGGAGTTAGAACCAGTAGAGCAGACTGACAGCGAGACGAATGCAAAGTGCTACTGACTGCATGGTCCGACTGCTTGCTGAAATCCAGGTCGACTGACGGGTTGCAGCAGAAACGGACCAATCCCGTGGCACCAATCAGCTGATTAGTGATCAGAAACACCTGTCTGCATGCTCCGCCTCCAACCGTGCTGAGGCCCACCTGAGAGAGAGAGAGAGAGACCCAGAGAGAGAGGAAAACAGGATCCAGCTGCCACTAGTCGAATGCATGACAATGTCCTTCAATAGGCATATAGAACCAGTCTGTAGGACGGCCGTCTGTCATCTACACATCAGAATCAGAACATCCTGTCTCAGAGTGATGCTGAGAAACCAGTCCATCATTTAGAACTTCTAGACTGGACTATTGTAGTTCCTTATTATCAGGATGTCCCACTAACTCTCTCAGAACCCTCCAGCTGATCCAACATGCTGCAGCAGGGTTCTGACAGAACCAGTACCAGATCAGATGTCTCCTGTATCAGCTTCTCTTCAGTGGCTCCCTGTAAAATCCGGGATCGAATCTAAATCCTGCTTCTAACATATAAACTCTCCATGAGCAGCTCCATGTGACCTTACAGACCTCATGGTACCGTATCATCCTAACAGAACCCTTCACTCTCAGACTGCAGGTCTACTGGTGGGTCCAGAGTGTCCAGAACCAGAATGGGAGGCAGAGCCTTCAGCTATCAGCTCCCAGTCTGGGTTCTGGAGGCAGACACCCTCTGTGCTTTAAGGTCAGGATGAAAACGTTCCTCTGTGATGAAGCTGATAGTTAGAGCTGCTCAGGATCACCTGAACTGTCCCTCAGTGATGCTGCTGTAGCTTCAGACTGCCGGGGGATTCCCATGATGCACTGGGCTCCTCTCCTCTCCCTTCCTTCCACACAGGTATAACCACCATTACATGTCACTAACTCTGTGTTACCCCCGAGGTCCTGTGCTCCCTGCAAACGTCTCTGGATCCGGACCTTCACATCCTTGACCTCCAGCCGCTGGCCTCACCGACCCCCAAAATACTTACATTCATATCTATTGTTCTGCTCTATTACTGCTCTCCATCTGCTATCATTTTCAGGCAGATGACCTGAGCCTGGTTCTGCCTGAGGTTTTTTTCCCCTCTCTCTCTCATAGACTGTATAACAGATGGACGTAGCAACCGGCCCTGAAAAATGAAGCCAACCCGGAAGTGTCAAAAACCTGCAGCATCACTACGTCCACTAGCTGCTGGCTCCACAAAGCCCTGGCTCTCATAGACTGGAACTGGAAAAGAAGTGATCACAGATCAATAAATACTGCATTCCTACAGCTCAGGATTTTGTTCTTATTAGTTTTCATGGTCAGATCCAGAGATCAGGAGGTCAATCTGAAAATAAATCAATACTGAATTTTTAAAAAATAGTCAACATTTTTCGGGGCAAGGGGCGTGGCTGGCTTGATTGACAGTCGGCAGCGACCATACAGATGAAGCGAGCAGAAGGCGGTAAATGTGGGCGGGCAGAGAGGGCCCGCCTCTCAATCCGTCTGACCAATCGCTGCTCCTATGGCTCCGCCACCCTCCGACGATTTTTACGTCACTGGCTCCAAAAATCCAAGATGTCAACCAGGAAGTAGCAAAACCCTGGCTTCATGTTCTCAGTGCAGAAACCAACGGGTGACGTCACGGCAGCTACGTCCATCTTTTATACAGTATATGATCTCTCTTGGGGGGGTTTGGTTCCTTCCCACCGTTACCAACCGCTTGCTCAAAGGGAGTCCAGAGGCTACTTTGGATTGTTGGTTTCTCTGTTTAAATGTGTGAGGTCTATACCCGACTTTGTTGTAAACTGTGCTATACTAATAACATTGAATTACCACATCCGAAAACAAGATTGATCCAGGACTTCATACAAACACATCTCAGAGCATGGGAAGGACAATGAATGACTCAGCACTAGAAAGCCATAGAAACTGGTCTGAACTACAAAGACAGGCGGCGGAGAGAAAATGGATCGCAAAATTGCAAACAATCGATCCTCATGGCTTGAAGGAGAACATATTACAAACAATACCTTCAATCACAGCATTACATTCTCCGCCCCCCTTTTCCCTCCAAATTCATTCACGCTCCAACACTCGAGTATCCTATATTCTAACCCAGCTTGATAGAAAGCAACCCGGGGCAGAACCAGGCCTGCAACACATGGTGGCGTATCAGGGTTAGGAGCTGAACTGTGTGAAGAGCTGAACCCTGGAAAGCATCTGAGACAGTCAGCATCAACAGTGGTCCGGGATTAAATTATGATTTGAGGAGGTGGGAGGAACAGACTAGCTGTGAATATTTACAATAGAGAAGAGTTACAGAAGTGAGTGTTTATTTTCCCATAATCCTTTGCTATTGACAGTAATGTACATTTTACTTACTGTACATATCATGCAAAAACTGTTCAGATTACAAAACGTTGTTACGGTGCAGCCTTTCAGTAAATGTCTTCCACTGGTCAAACCACAGTGGCGTCCTTGGAGCCGTCATAAGTCACGTCAGCCCTGACGGTGAGATGGCTCAGTTCTACACCAGGCTGCTCTGTGGACCTGGACTGTCCTGGTTCTGGCTGGTGTTGACCTTTGGCCTGAGGGAAGTGGAAACCATCTAGAGGTGCATGTTCGATCCTGCACAGGCTGTCCTCGCTGTCACTGTTGTAACCGGGATTGGAGGCACTGGCGAGGCAGCGGCCGGACCAAGCGTCCTCTGACAGCAGGCCGGGCTTGTGAACAGTGATCTGAACGTCATCTGTCTGAGCAGCCTTTTCCATCCTCGAGACACTGACGGGCCCCTCCACCTCGCTGGGCTCCACCTTACGGAAAGTGTGGCGGGCATACAGGCCGATGCAGAACATCTCCACAATCACACTGTAGTGATAGATCACTAGTGTTGGACAGAGAAGACAACGCTTAGGTGTGAAGAGCTTCTGCAGCCAGAGTCTGTCATGATTGTACAACGCCTCGAGTTCACAAACCAAACATTAAGAGAGGAAAAGCCACATGCACTGCAGCCGTCTCTATGCGGCAAAAGTTCTGATTGAAAAATGGAATTTCTTTGTAGTAATATGACGTGATGCTGTAGCATTATGAATATAGCAAGAGGAAAGAAACTGCATGTCTTTTACAAGAACGGAACATTTAATTAACGAGAATTTGTTTTGACATAAACTTATCATTTCCTTTCTTGTACCATACTGTGAACCTGCAGCTTCTACTTCAGTAAATTCCCACTTTTCCAAAACAACAGAACAAATGCATTTTATTTTCTGTATCTGAATAGTTAGAATGAAGGATTACTCTAAACAGATGTCAGCATGTTCCAGAAGTTCTCATGGACATAATGTGAGCCTCAGTGTGGCTGCAGGAACCACTAGTCCATGTCATTGACTTTGTCTTTTCTCTCTCGTTATGAAAAAGAAACCCTGAGTTGATTACTATTGAGACAAATAATACAAAATATTTGGCTTAACTAAATTATTTAAATACAAATTTTATTTTTCATTTTTTGTATTCATTTTTCAGCTTCCTTAAAAACGAGGACAGCAGTCCTGAGCTGAAAGCCAACAGCAGTGACCTTCTGGCACATGCGTTGCTCCACAACAAAGTATTGGGTTTCTTGTGTTATAATCAGCCATGTTTTGAGCTATCGTGTTTTCTGGATCTGTTTTTCTCCACTGAACCTTCTGATCTTGTTGTTTCTACGGAGCACAGTGCACGTCCTTGAAGATAATGTGGCCGGTTAGATCTGGTTCACACACCAGGAGACAGCAGAAACTCTAATCTATCACATACACACCGTACCAACAACATCCACACATGTTGCTTACCAAATTTCAAGGACGTGGACAGAGTGCGGAAGAGCTATGCCTATCCACGCCATTGGTTAACCCTAACCTCTGCACGGGGCAGGCCCAGCCCAAGAAGACAAATGTAAATCATTTCCGGACATCGGGGCTCCTTCTGATAGATCTCTCGTGAGAGCTTGGTCACTCCGAGCCCAGCGCTGCCTCACTTCACCTGTGACCTAAATAAATTCTACATCTGTGAACTCAAAATTTCTCCAGTTTGTTCTTGGGCGTCCAGCTAAAGAATCGGGGATAACACTTCCTTAAACACAAGCTAAGTAACACACAAAGTGGTTTGGAAAACGCTGTTACACAAGACCTGCCGTGGTTCTCCTAAACAGAGGGAACGGTAAACACATGTCTGACAGAGGTGTGGCTGCTGTAACTCACACTGGGACCTGGTCAAGACGGAGAATGGCGGCGTGCAGGGGATGACCTCCAGAGCACCCATGGTCTCCAAGATACCATTCTGCAGGCCGCACAGCACCAACACCACGATGATGCAGATGAACTTGGGTCTCAGTCCATGGCCGGGTAAAGCACTCTTTGTGGCTTTGTAAAACAGAAGGTGGCCATAAAAGGACACAAAGGTTGACACGCCTATGATAGCGTTCACATACAGGTTGGGGTTGACTGAATCCACCTAGAGAACAACAACATGACTGTTACTTCATTATTTCTTTATTTAATGTTTACTTTTCAACATATCCAGTGCTGTCTGGAGCAGGACCGGCTCAAGAGCATATACTGACAGCAGACAATATGGATTTATGACATGGAAAATGGTAAAAGGTAAATGGTCTGCACTTACGCAGAGCTTTTATCCAAAGCGCTTTGCAATGTGTTTCTCATTCACACACATTCACACACCAACGGTGACAGAGCTGCCATCAGGAGCAACTGCCCTGGATTTATTATATGAAATGGAGCTAAACGTTTATGCTCCAGATGAACGGGTCACACTTGTAGTCGGATGGTTTCTGCTGTGTTCATTGTCATGCCATGTTCTCTTTCTGCTGCATCACACTGCCTCCCTCACCTCTACAGCCTGTCTTTGTGCATCCTTGGAGTTTGGAAGACAGATATCTTATAAATGGGGATAATGGCACAAAGAGTCTCTCCTTTAAGATATTTGTGGTATTGTGGAATTAGTTAAGAGCTGCAGAGAGACGTTTGAACCGCTTTCTTACCTTCGTACAACTGGATAAAACGACTATAAGTACCACCTTCCCTGATCGGAAAGAGAACTGCTGAATAGAAGCACTTTAATGAGTACCGAGACATTTATTTCTCAGCAGTCTGAGTTTTTGTTTTGTTAGTTTCTATGTGAACAATTACAAAGCCCTGTAATGTTGTTAATGTCAAAAAAACCTTTTAAAAGAGAGTCTTATTGCAGTGATTTATAAGGATATATATACATTGCTGTAGCCGAGTTATTGTCAATAATTTAGGGCAAACATTTGGTGACTAATAATATTTTAATAATGTTTTAAAACAGTCAGATTTAGATTAACCTTAAAATATTATATAAACAGCAGTGGGATGACAGGAAATGAGTAAAAGCTTTTAAAAGACCGGATTGGGGGAAATCCCATCCTCCAGGTCATGTGTTATGACCTGGAGGATGGGATTTTGTTTTGTTTGATTCCTTCTTATTGTTTTCCTGTTCATGTCTCCTACCATCCATCCATCCATCATCTCTACACCTTCATCCTCACCAGGGTCATGGGGGGCTGGAGTCTATCCCAGCTGACTCAGGGTGAAGGCAGGTTCACCTGGACAGGTAACCAGTCTATCACAGGGCTACACTTAGAGACAGACAACCAAGCACACTCACATTCACACCTACGGACAATTTACAATCACCAATTAACCTCAGCATGTTTCTGGACTGTGAGAGGAAGCCGGAGAACCCGGAGAGAACCCACGCTGCACGGGGAGAACATGGAGACTCCACGCAGGAAGATCCCGAGTGTCCTCACCGGGACGCCAACCGGCGACCTTCTTGTCTCCTACTATCTATTTGTAATTTCGCTTTTCTGTTACTTCCTGTTTTATTTTGAAGTCACTCTTCATTTTGTGGTGTTGCTTGTATTTTTACTTCCTTCCCTCGTTTTTTTTTTTTTTACCTTTTTCTACTCACTATTTGCCTACTGGAATTCTTCTTTCTGTTCCTTGTGCTGGTTTGTCTTATTGTATTTTTGGATTTTTATTTGTATTTGTTTAGGATAAGTGTAGATTCAGTTGGACTTTCAGCACAGAGTTCTCCTGGATCAACAGCCGCCTTCTGTTGGTTTCATGTTACCCTTTCAGTAGCTGCACTTGGCTCCTTTTCCTGATATCTCTGTTACATACTAGATGTTAAGGAAGTCGTGTTTGCTGAGAGAACACAGTTCAAGATCTGAGTAAATGACTCACATCACCATAGTCGTACTGTTCATCTGTCCACAGGACCAGAGTAACGAAGAACAAGATGCTGCGGACAACCGAGAGCTGAAGCACAGCAGCCATCATCCAAGCACGGCTGCTGCTGCACACAAGAAAACAAACACAGCTTTAACATGTTACCAGCATGTCAGCGTATCAGCTTCATACATGTTCTATAATTATGCATAAAAGAACATCTTGTGCACTCAGACTAACTGCTGACAACACATGAAGAGTTCATTTCCTAAAACAGATCGCTCCTCTTCACAAACCTTCATAAACCCACGTCTCCATCGTCTACCTGAGACAACATCAAACTTCTCTTCTCTCTATAGTCGTCATTTCTGCTGAGTCAGATCTACTCAGTTCCACTTTGACTGATATCATCTCAAGTAAACAACAACGACAACAAAAAAGTTTTCTGAAAATCTACAAAAAAAAGAGCTATCTGTTTTTACAGATAAATTTTTCACACGTATTCAGGAGCATGCACTTCATTGGAATATTGTTTGTCGGGTTCAGCCGATTGACCACACAGCCTCGTCAAAGTGAGAAAAAAGGGCCGCATTTAGATCCTGGAGGACAACACCAGGCAGTCTGCAGAAAAACCTGGCCTTAGGCGGCATTTCGTCTTCCAGCAACACAATGACATCACCACTTTGGATGTTATCATACCAGTAACTGGATGTTATCAGCACACATCGTTCCCATATGGACACGTAGGGAGGGGCCTCACAATCCTTCTGATGTTTTTGGGTTTCAAGCAGGAGGTGTCAGACAAGTTACCACAGGGACAACTGGCTTGTGGTGGCCAAGCGTTCATAGCGACGTCGCTTTTTGATCCTTCGATGTCGGCTCTTCCTATCATTGTGAAGCAGAATCCACCAAGCGTTGGACTGTTCACCCACTGACAGGGAACGTGAGCTGGGTTCACCCTACTGATGATGTGTTGTTGCATTAGCAATCCTGCCCAGTATGAGAGGAACCTACCGTCCCCCACCTTCTAGGAATCTCAGTGGCATCATTTCATGGTGTCCTATTATCACCTCATTAATGGCAGTGTAGCTGCAAGCTAGCATTGACAAAAGGGAAAAAGGCCACATATGGGTATTGGAGAGGCTGGAGGAGGCGAAAGTCAACAAACATGAGTCTGAGCTGGATCTGGGGCCATCATTTCAGTTTCACTTTTTGACTGAAGTCTTGTTTTGACTCACGTTGACTCACTGTTTTTCTACTTGGTATTTGGTTACTACTAATGGGCGGCTGTGGTTGTCCTCTGATCGCAAGGTTGGTGGTTCGATCCCCTCCACAGTCAAAGTGTCCTTGGGCAACACACTGAACCTGAAGTTGCTCCCAATGGCAGGCAGCACCTTGCATGGCAGCTCTGTTGGTGTATGAATGTGTGTGAATGAGAAACACACTGTAAAGCGCTTTGGGTAAAAGCTCTGTTTAAGTGCAGACCATTTACCATTTACATAATGCAACAGTGCTCTGTTTATAGGTCGTCAACGTATATCAGGGTTACTTTCTATTTATTAGTGATCAGAATGGATGGTAACGAACTTACTGAGCCTCCTGGAAGGTAGATGAGGTAGCTACGACATGTCAATGATGGGTGCTGATAACAGACCATTTAATGGCAGATAATGCCCTCATCAGGTAACAATCTGAAACAAACAGCCTAAAAGAGTCAAGAAATGCTGAAAAGAAAAGTGTATGAACATTTTGGAGTGCTCGAGCCGGAGTCTAGACCTGACTCCATTTGACTACCAGTGAAGGGAACTGAAGACCAGAGAGATGGCAGAGGCCTTCTAACCTAAAAGACCTGGATGGAGCTGCAGAAGAGGAGTGGTCCAAAACTCCAGTGGAAACATGCAGGAAGCTTGACAGCTGTTATACCAACTGTTTGACTGTGGTAGCAAATAAAGGCTTTGATTACTAACAGAGGGTATGACTAATTTTGGACATTGCAGTTTTAGTAGAAACGTGAAAAAACAACAACATAGAAATAATTGAAATGTATGATCAGTATCTCTAACGTCTTTTATAAAATAAAATGTCTCCATGAATGACAGCAATATGGGTTTAACTGTAAGCGACGCTCGCTGCCACAATCAAACTGAAGGCTCTCAGCACCTGTGATGGCTCCAAATAAAATCTAAATTATTTCAAGGCACAGCTAGTTTGCTTGGCCTCCTGTCTACCTGTTGATGGCCACCATCGGGAGACAGCAGCAGCAGCAGCAGGGGAAGGGGTCTGGAGATACCTGCTGTCCAGACAGAGCGACCAGCATACGAGCTTTACCTCCAAAGAAGTCTGTAATCAGTCCCATGAATTTCAGCAAGGTGATGGAGTGATACCTACACAGACACACACACTCAGACAATGCAGGTGAACCCATGAACAGACAGCATTACAGTGAGTCAAGACTTGTTCACTCACAGTGAAGCAATGAAATTACACAGCGAGGAAGCGCGTGGAACATACAGCGCTATAAGGGACGTCAAGGCCCAAACCTAAGAGAGAAAGAACAGATTAACACACAGCGCACCTTCACTTAAAGCTGGAATGATGACATCTGCTGAAGAATGTTGGAGAAAACTGAAAAGCTACTAAAGCATGAGTGAATTAACTTAAATACTGTCATTTGATGTTCAATACATTCAATCTCATGTTGTTTAAACATAAAGAAATAAAACTCCAACTTTCACTTCAGCAGCCACCCAGTGTCCCAGCTGAAGGTCTGCTGCTGGACCTCCACCAGAATCTCCTCATATGGACCTCGCTACAGTCCATCTGACCTCACTGGTTTCTTAAAGTCTTTTTCTGTTCCAGAGACCTGAAGGCAGACTTCTCCCTCTCCTGCCCGAACCCTAACCCTAACCAAATCAAGCTGCATGTTTAGACACTAACACCACGAACAGGAAACATCATTTATGTGTCCTCTGTTTTAAAACAAGGTGGTTGTCATGAAAAGTCCCATAAAGACGTGAGGTCACAGCTTAACGTGTAAAGCCTTTTCATCTTGTTATTAACACGATCAATACGTCTATAAATCAGTGGGTGACGAGTACAGTGTGTGTGTGTGTGTGTGTGTGTGCGTGTGTGTGTGTGTGTGTGTGTGTGTGTGTGTGATGAGGTCACAGGTGTGGGCCGCTGTGTCTCGTGCGCTCTTCAGGTGCCGGCAGAGGCTTGAAGCGGGCCGGAGAACAGCTGAGCTGACGGCAGCGGACGCGCGGGAGAACCGCGGTGGAGAAGCGCTGGTCGGACGGCTGTGACAGCACGAGGCATCTGGTCGTGAGTGCGGGGGACGGCGCGAGAGGAGCGACTCAGACAGAGGACGTGCGGACCAGTCCGCCCGGACTGACGGAGCTGCTGCCCGGTGGAACAGCCGCCACGCGCCAGAGAGGCAGCGGAGACGCGCGGTGCAAGAGGGGGGAGCCTCGGGCAGAAGTGGAAGGGTGGGGACGCGTTCCTTCAGATAAGTACCCCTCTACTTACCCCATAGCACACACTGGACAGGACATCACCGGTTCACCTGCTGCAGCTACAGCTCAGGTATCTCCACCATCAGCTGTCACAGGGACAGTCACAGTCATGTCTGCACTGGGTTCATTTGTCTTCGTTTGTAGTGGGTTTAATTTAGGAGTGATTATTTGTTTATTTCAGCTCTTCTTGTGTTGGACTCTTACTTTGCCCATCCACAGTCATTGTTTGTTCATGACTTGGCTTCAACAGCTGGACTCTGGTCGGGCATCCATCGCCCTGATCCATATCTGCTGTGCGTCTTTTAAAGTGACTGGACCTCCACTGTACGGAACCGACTGGAGGATTCACGTGGGAAGGCCGTGGACAGACTGATTAGATAGAACTTTATTGATCCCTTTGGTAGCGTAGATCAATCTCCTGGAGTATCTTTTATCTATTTTTTAAGACTTTTGTAATAAAGGACTATTTTTATACAGGAAATCCTCCCCTGGTATCTGGGATAAAAATCTAAATGCTTGAGATGTTAAATAGTTCTGGATTTCTTGTTGCACTGAGAGTTCAGTTGTTAGAGACGAGGCGTGCGTGCGTGTGTGTGTGTGTGTGTGGAGGTTGGGGTTACCGGGTACATCCCTAATATCCACAGGTAGAGATGTTTACGTCTAGACGAGGAAATGTGACGCAAGAAGAAGCCGACTTCCTCCAGAAACACGGCCAGTAGGATGAGAGCCAGGCCGGCCGGGATGAGGAAGAGCCACAGCTCCTCTTTAATGGCTGAGAAACAACAATGAAAACCAGAGTCACACTGAGCTGACAGCTGCATTACACCCAAAATCAGAAAATCCCAACATCAGCCTCAGAAATGCTCCGACTCACGGCTGACCGGGAGAAAAGCCCAGCAGCAGGACAACCTCACACAAAAGCTTTTACCAAACCCCATCAGACTGAATTTTCACTTTTGTTTTACCCAATTTATTGAGCCTGGCATCGCTTTCATGTCAACCAAGTTGCTTTTGTGCTTAAACCCAGACAACAGTACAGGCCTCAACCCTTGACCTCAACAACCAGGAGGTCCAGTGGCTCTCTGGTGCTGTTTGCCACCTTTGGCTGGCTGAAGGGTTTGCTGAGTATGTCCATCCATCATCTCTACACCTTCATCCTCACCAGGGTCATGGGGGGCGGAGCCTATCCCAGCTGTCTCAGGGTGAAGGCAGGTTCACCTGGACAGGTAACCAGTCTATCACAGGGCTACACTTAGAGACAGACAACCAAGCACACTCACATTCACACCTACGGACAATTTACAATCACCAATTAACCTCAGCATGTTTCTGGACTGTGGGAGGAAGCCGGAGAACCCGGAGAGAACCCACGCTGCACGGGGAGAACATGGAGACTCCACGCAGGAAGATCCCGGGTGTCCTCACCGGGACGCCAACCGGCGACCTTCTAGCTGTGAGGCCACAGTGCTAACCACTGATCCACCTGCAGCACTTGGTATGTGAATGTTGTGAATCATATGTGATGCCTTCAGAGGCACCAGACCTCATCCTCCCACTGTGAAATGACATTTCTATTTCTGTTTTCCCCTACTTTAACTTTGCAGTAATTAAATATATTTATTATATAACTGATGGTCAATTTTAATAGACTGAATCAGATGAGTTCCATCATACGTTGCTTTTATTTTAGTATTTTATTTTAGTGAGACTGCGGCGTACAGTATTCACCGTCTCAGCTGCACATACCTGAAACTCAGTCTGGTTCACTGTGTATTAAAATGGGTAAATTAATGAAACAACAAAAACATAGTTGTGGTATAAATGACAGGCTAACTTCCTGTGCGTTCTACATATCAAGACAACACACTACACCAAGGACACTGTCAGAACATCACTGCATGATGTGATATCTAGCTACTACTCAGCAGTGTTTACATCAGATTTTAGGATCTCCAACTATTTTATCAAAAAAGAAAATGAAACCAAAAGCAAATGTGCCAAGAGATGAGACTATCATTCCTCATTTATGCTGTCATGTTAACGAGGAGGCCTGATCTTTACTTACCACTGAAGAACTGTGAGGACAGAGGGATCTCAATCCCAATCCAGCTGCAGTTGGCTCCTCTTGCCATTCTCTGTATGATGCAGTCTCCACTCTACCTACGGCTACTTCTGATCCATGGCCAGCTACAGAACACAGCACCAAACTAATGCTTCAGCAGCGAGGCCGTGGTGCTTGGAAAGGCTTCCACGGGTCTTTCTCCTGTTGTTTCCGCGTTGACCTGAGCACTGCCTGTCTCAATAAAGACGTTAATGATTGACAGATCCAGGTAAGAAGCCAGGTGGGGGATTCAAGTCCATCTCGCAGGAGGCATGTAGTTCATCTGGAAGAATGACGATTAAACCTTGAGAATTTCAAATTGTTTAAAAGTGCAGGTTTAATCTATAAGTCTGTGGATGGGACACCCCTCCACCCCTGGGGGTTTTATCAAAAAGAAAAATGGTATTACTAGCACAAGGTCAGCCACCAGGACTGACTGAAGTCAAACTTATTCAAGGCTGCACAAACAGGAATATTTTACCTGTAGCTATCAGAGAAAGCTTCACCTTTGTCAGTTTGAACAGACCGTGTCAGACATGGCTGATCAACAATCAAATGTGTGAACACTGACAAAATCAGGCACTTTTATGCACTTTATGTCAATCTGGTGCACAATTACAGCAACATTTAATAGAAAAAATACAAAAAGAACAACAGCAGCTGTAAAAAAAAACAGTCATAACAGAAAACATTTGAAGGTTGTGGATCCTTCCAAAATCCCCACGTAGCTCCACGTGAACACGCTGAACCGTTGACATGTTCTTGGACAAAGTCGACCAACATGACATCAGAGTTACAACTACAGAGACACCGACCCTAACATGCCGCCTCCAAACAGCTGTCTGAAGTAAGGGGAGGTCTGTCGAGTCTGTTAGAGGTCTGATGTGTTGTCTTCTCTCCACTCGTATGAAATCATATGAAGGTTACATTTAAGCACGTTGATTCGTCATACAGGACTCTATCCGTCACTACGTCACACAAAAGTCACATTTTCAAATAAGTCTGAAGAGTTTTGTTTCCAAACTCCTCCTTTACATCCAAAGCATCACCTGTGGGAACCAGCTCAGCACCAACGCTGTCGTCGCCTGTCCACCACTCCTCAGGTTTGAACAGATCAAACCGTCGTACCATCAGAAAACAACATCCTGACGTTTTGTGACACAAACTGGTTTTCCGTTTTTGGTCTCTGCCAGTCCTCTCCCTCGCTCCGACATCATCATTAAATTAAACGGTAGAAGACCCAGCTGGCGAACACGACCCAGTGGCTCGCCCAGTTCAGCTCGGACCACCTCTGGATGGTGTGGCTGGCTGCATAGCCCTGCAAGTAGGACAGACAAGCACAGCCTCAGTTTAGACCTGGTCATCGTAGTCTGTGGGGCATTTACACACTCCATCAGCCGGTTTGATAGTTTTTGCTCTGGGCTCTTCTTTTCTTGTGGAGGCACAGGAATTTGCTTTTCATTAATTCACCTTATTACAGAAACAAGTACGAACAAAGAGTGGCCTCATTTCTATTGACTGAAGATGTTCTTTATGGTTTGTATTTTTCTAACCTGTTAGTTTTTAAATACACAAGAGAAAAACTCTACACTTCAACTTCAAAAGAACACAACGATAGCAAGGTGTTGATTGTTTGTTATATCACAGTGACAGACAAACATGAAAAAAGAAGAAAGGAAAGAAACTGTCTGTTGTGGGTTAGGTTTAGAAAGTCTATGATTCGCCATCATGGCCAGTACGAAGTATGAAGTTGTGAGAGCGCCGAATTACAAAAATAAATCAATAGAAGAATAATAAAATAAAAGTGGAAATAAAAAGAAGAATAAATGAAACAAAAAATAAATAATGTGGCAACATAAAGCAATAGTAATCAAAAATGAATCCATAAAAGGAAAGGCTGATAAAAGTAGAAAAATAAAGACAAACAAATAAAATAATAAAAATAATAATAGTTTTTACATTTTTTTACATTTTAATTTTTGTATTTTAATTTATTTAAAATTTTTTTGTTTTTTCATTTTTATTTTATATAAAAGAAGCCTCCTCGTTTTCCAGTCTATTCATCTTTTTTTATCAACACTTTCTCCTCTGTTTCGTTCACTAACGAACAGACTCGGTCCTGCTCCTACCTCTTCTGCCTCCTGTTCATCCAGTCCAGGATCAAACATGGAGCCCAGATAGGTGAGATGGAAGATGACCAGCACGCTGAAAACAACATTCAGCAACAGCACCCAGTATTCCTACAGAAAACAAAAACAACTGTTAAACAGGCAAAAGGCATCATTTTGTCCTCTTATTAAACCTTAGCAGCTACTTAAAGCTCCTGTTTGTGCTGCTAACCCTGACCACGTCACTGCAGCGACGCTTCAGACTCATCAGGCCTGAAACTTTCAACCAAACACGGCTTCTTAGGCGACTGTTCAGTTACTTTAAAGCTGTGGGACACTTGATGTACAGTCTGCTTTTTACAACTCATCTGACCTAAAAAAAAAAAAAAAAGACATCCAAGTGTTAGAAATACGAGTCTGATTTGTACTGAGGTCAGGTGTTTAACGTAAAGCTACACAACGATGAATGCATGTATGTTAGGGACACAGGAAACACCACATGTCCTGTTCGCTGGATGGGCGGTCATGTGACCAGTTTAAGTTTAAAACTGTTAGCCACCATTTTTCCTAATTAAATGTAAAATGGAGATGATCTACAGTACTGCAAAGACCCTTTAGATGTTTAGATGACTCATATCCCTGAGCAGCACCAGCAGGGAGGTGTCTGACCGTCCCACATTGACAACGAGCCACAAAGAGGAGGAATCCTCCAACAGATGGTCGAGGTTACACAGAGCCTGACCTCTAAATCATGGAGTCAGTCTGGGATCATATGAAAACACAGAATACATCCACAGAACTGTGGCAAGTTCTCTGAGAAGCTCAGAACAATCTGCTTTCAGCATCGATGGCTGTCTTAAAGGTGAAGAGTGTTCACAGAAAACACTGACTTCATTAAGTTTCTTGTCTTTCCTGCACTCTGTATGAAGCTCATTAAAAACAACCACCGTTCTCTGTACGCCTCTGCCAACCACACAAAGCTGCTCTCTGATCTTCAGGATGTTAAATGTCATTACTTTACTCATCTTATGATACTAGACATTGGTGCAAAGTTTGATCATAATTTCAGTGGGAATTCTTGATTTCCAAACTGGAGGAAGTTCCATCAGGGAGGAAGGAGATATATATATATATATATACACGAAGGAGATATATGATGCCGCGAGAGGCAGAAAACTATCAGTGGAAATACTTCTGAAAACACACTCATTTCTAATGTAACCTTTGTACTTTACCACTGTTGGATGCTGAGCAGTGCTTTCCACCACTTACTCCTGTTTCACAGCTCAGATGCATGCAGCTGTTTTGGCTTTTCTAGTGCAAATAAGAAATCTTGTCATTTTGTCAATACTGCTTTATGTGGCTCTGATATAACCGCTGCTTTCTTCGCATCTGTTATACTGAACGAAACAGATGAACTCTACAGACACCTGTAGCTGAATGAATGCAGATCTAAACCAGATGCCCAGTTTGATGACAAACGCGCCACTGGTCAGACGATGTTCAGGCCAGACGTGGTGTCTTGATATGAATTTCTCTGATGACTGGTGCGTCACACAGCAGAACCCACCTTTTTGTGCTGATGGCTGCAGTCAGAAGCACAGGGCCTGGACAGGATACAGGCACTGAAGGTGGTGGCAAGCTTCCTTCTCAGGACTGGGGACAGGAAAAACAAAAACAACACCTTTGATCCAACTTTACTGACTCAGCTTTATGGAAGTGGCATTTCTACATCCTGTGTGACAAAACAGAAGTCTGTTAAAGCTAAAAGTCTATCTTCTAAATTCAACATTCAGCTTTTACTACCAAACAATTACATACAAGCATGAATTTTAAGCATACCGTGTTCAACGTATGTGATGAATCCAAGTGAGAGGAGAACAGCTCCGAGGTGAAAACTCAGACCCTGAAGACAGCAAACAGCAGAGTCCAGGTCAGCATGTCACACCAGGTGCACACAGCCCACACATCTGTACCACATGTGCTCTCACTATTATGCAGTTCTCATTGCCATGTACTGAAGTGTAGCATGTCCTTCACATGTCGTGTGTGTGTTAGTGTTTAACACAGGAAACAGTAGAGCAGTAACCGGCTACGATGTTCAGTGAGCACACTGGGTCATGTGGCACAATCGGATGGCGGGACACGTGTTTCATGTGTTTCCATACTGAAGTGGAAGCAGATGGATTAAAGTGTGCATCATCTCACTGACATGCAGCAAGGCGCTGGCTGTGTAGGTCACCAAGATGGCTGGGAAAGTTCCCAGTTTCATGGCATTCTTAAAGACATCTGAGGAAGACCAAAGACAGAACACAGAAAAAACATATTATGACTTTTTTTAAAAAGTACAGTCGTGCTCGATAATCCGACACTAAATGTAAAACCTTCTTCTATGTCGGATATCAAGGCTGTCGGATTGTCCAGACGGAGGTCCAGATACAAGGAGGGCTTGATGCTGGAAGG